ACCACAATCACATTCAGACACACTCATGCACACACACTGACATATAGACCCACAAAAAAATTTAAAGGAGGGAAGGAAGGAAGAGAGGGAGGGAGGAGTGTGTGAGGGAACAAACCAGAAGAGGAACCAGAGAGATCCTGTTGCTCCCTCTATTCAAAGATCCCAGGTCAGAAAGCAGTATTCCTTCAGACCTGGCATCCCCAGGTTCAAGAAATTCCTCTTCCACTTGTCAGTCACCAAGAGCTGTCATATTGCTAAACTGAATCTCTTCCCCCTTCCCTCCTTTCTTCTTGTCCTGTGTAGCTTCCTGGCTCATTCTACTGGCAAAACAAGCCCAAAGGATACATCAACTAAAATAAAATGAAAATGTGAAAGGAAGCCATGACTTATGTGACAGGATACCTGTTGCTATATGTTAGGGCAGGTTTCTTAATCACTGTTCTGTTGCTGTGACTAGAGACCATGGGACTGGAGAGATGGCTCAGAGGTTGGGCTGCTCCTCCAGTGGTCCTGAGTTTAATTCCCAGCAACCACATGGTGGCTCACAACCATCTATAATGAGTTCTGATGCCCTCTTATGGTCTACAGGCATACATGCAGGCAGAACACTGTGTACACAATAAATAAATCTAAAAAGAATAAAAAAGGCCTGGCATTGGTGGCACACGCCTTTAATCCCAGCACTCTGGAGGCAGAGGCAGGTGGATCTCTGTGTGTTCGAGGCCACCCTAGTCCACAGGTTTAGTCCATTATCATGGCAGGGAACATGACAACAGGCAAGCATGGCTAAGAGCTATATCCTGACCCATAGGTGACACTGGGTTTGGCATGGAATTTAAAACAACAAAACCCAGCCCCAGTGACACACTTCCTCCAATAAGGCCACACCTTCTAGTCCTTCTAATCTTTTCAAATAAGCCATTTGTTGGTGACTAAACATTCATGAGTCTGTGGGGGCTGTTCTTACTCAAACCACCACCACAGTGGAGATGAGACTGTTACTGAGCAGCCATCTTAAAGGGAAAGGACTCTGGAATTTCCCAGTGAGCAAAGACATACCACACTGGCTTCTAGAGCAATCGGTCCATCCTACAGGCAATGCAAACAGTATGTCACCTAGACCTAGATGGCTGGGGGCAGCCTTTATCTGTCAATGAAGTTCACCCTGCCTCTGAGATTCCCCTGTTACTTCATCTCCCAATTTTTTTCTTACTTAGTGCTGATAGCATCACCCAACAGTTCTGAGGAGTAGGCAGGAAGTGTTACCCCATTGTCAACGAACAGAAAAGGGGAGCTCAACTCTGGAGACCCCCAGGCTGCTCTGGGGTGTGGATTGTTACTAGGCCTGCATTCTGACAGTGCAGTCTTCATGCTGTCATCAGAGAAGGGAGGAGACTTCCAGGAATCAGGGTGCTGCCTCTTTTCTCCCCTGACTTGGTTATATTCAGATCTGTGACAGCAGGGTGGGTGGATCTGTATCACTATAATGAGATTATAATGAGCTCAGCATTCTCTGGAGTGTCAACATGACCTCTACACCAGACCTCATTGATGTGGAGTTCCTGTGGAATGTGAGTGCTAACTGGGTAGCCGGCCAGTGTGGTTATCAGCATGCTAGCTGTAGTTTGGGGGAGCAAGTGGCACAGCTGGCTGAACAACAGGCTTTGGTCATTTGAGAGCTCCTGTATGTGACCTGGGAGCCAAGCTCTGCTTGCTATCACTGCTCCAAAGAATGTTCTGGCTCCACGACTGCAGAGGGACTCTTTGTCCTCAAGCCAGGCAGCTTCTGCCTGACCCCATGTCAGATCACTGGAATCTTGCCCAAGGAACATTTGCACAGTAGACTCCTTGAGAGGAACTTGCCCATGTGTGAACTTTAAAATATGAAATGCATCTCCATTTTGCATTGCCTACTTTGAATTTTAAATGTCACCTCTAAAAATGCAGAAAGGCACTGCTGATCATTCTGATACAAACAAGCAGGAAGCCAAATCGAACCTCACTTCTTACCAAGTTCATTGGTCATCCCGTGGGTCATCCTGCCCCTAGTATCTGAAGTCTGTCTTCACATAGGTGACTCACTCCACCCACTCAGACCTGATCTCCCAAGCTCACAGAACCACTAAAGGGTTAAAGGCCATCCCTGTGACTATCCAGCTGAGTCTGAGCCCCTCAGCCAAAAGCTTTGTGACCCTGTCCTGACAGCATCCTTCAGAAAACATCACTGCACAGCAAGCTGGCTCTCTGAGCATTCTGTCCACTACATGGAGACAGTTCTGCTTTTTTGTTTGGCCTCCCATGAGACTTTGTTCTATGAATTCAAGCCATAGATAGGAGTATCCAAATGCAGGTGTTCCTGTAGGGTGTGGGGATGAGAATTCGGAACTCTGTTCCCAACTCAGAACATGTTACGCTGTAAGCACTGCTGTGGTCAGAACTGAGCCCTCTGCCCTCTGTGGCAGTCCCCAGATCCTTCCCATCACAAAAATCTGATACCATCAGAAAGGCAAGCCCCTGTAACACCCCCCACACCCCATATATACAGCGACAATTACCCTGAGGAGGGCCGTGGAAGACTTGTAAGCCTTCAGGATCATTGTGGAGTTTTAGTTCCAGAGAAGAGACCTAGATGCAAGGAAAGGACTGTACTGGGAAGCTCGTTTGCTCTTGCACTTTCTCTCTCCCTCTCTCTCTCTCCTCAATAATAACTGGCCAAATTGGGTCAAAAAGATCCCCATGAAAAGACCCACGTGCACAAGACCCTAGAGATATTGCTTAATCCCAGTTGAACCCAGAGTTCTTCGAGTGCCAGGGCGCACCCACCCCTCAGCAGCACAAGCTCATCAGGTGTATGGGTACCCTGACCTCACTGGGAAGTGTGCCTTCCACACGACTCAAGAGTTGGCTTCTGTCTGACAGGAAGCAGCTAAGTGGAGACAAACAGAATAATGGCCTTGGTGCTCACAGGGGACACAAAGTGTCATCTATCAGCCTGCAGCAAATACAAATATCTGCAGACAGACACCAAGGGAAGACTCATGAGCTGCCAAGGAGACCAGGCATCCTGGAGGAGGAAGCTCTCCATTGGGTCTGGGACCCTCTACTCAACACACTACTGGAAGCATCTGAGGCTTGAAGTCAGGGCACTCAGGCAGTCTTAATGGAGGCTCTTGTGCTTGGAGAGTGAGGTAGTCTCTAACCGTGTTCCTAAAAATACCCACGGGCAAATGTTCTATGTATGCCATGTAACTGAGCTGAGCCATCGGGTGTTCAGGAAGAAAGGGCCAGTTAAGGGCATAATCCTTGGACAAACAGTATTCACCCTCTTCAGAAACTCCCACTCGGTTGCCTTGTCCTCACTCAGGCACAGGCTCCTCCTGCAGTTGGCAGTTGTTGCCTGGTCAGTACTTCTAAGGGCTTCCTAGAGCAGAGATGTATGTCCCTATGGGGCATCCTTCCCATCCTGTGGATAACCTGCCTCCCTTCCCAGGGCCTTAGACCTGTAGATATCCTCCCTGCTGTGCCAGGGCCTGGGGCCCAGTGTGGGAAGTTTCCTAGCCAGGAGGGTAGGATATGGTGGTGGCCAATGGAGAGCACTACAGTGCACCTGCACTAAGATTAGCTTTCAAATGTGTTGTTTTACCTTCATTACAGTGGCTGTGCTTTAAGGCTGTAGCCTGGGGGGGGGGGGATTCTGTTCCCCAGACAATGGAAATTGGAAGGCTAGGGTGAAAACCTGTGAGCTCAGGGAGTTAAAATAGCACCTGGCTAACTTTCTGTCTTTGCTGGTGTCCTGAAAGCCACTCCCTTCCACACCGCCCCAAACAAAACAAAACAACAAAAAAAAAAAAAAAAAAAAAAAAAAA